AATGATGTAAAAATAAACTTTGTAATAAATAAAAAATATATATATACATATATATTATTAAAAAAAAAATTTCCTCCTGGCCCCCACTCCCCAACCCATGCTGCTCACCAGGGCTCCCAGATCCCCTGTCTCAGCCCTTCAGGGAATCATCACACAGACATCCCCAGATGGGGCAGCTTCAGGTTGAAAGTGTATTTTATTGAACAGTGAGGAGGTTACCAAACCTCAGGCAGGAATGTTAGTGTGTGAAGTTATTCCTGTCATGGTAAAGAAAAAGGAGCTGGAGATAGTAGGGGCCACAGGATGAGTCGTGATGGGACACCCTGAGTTCAGGAAACAGGTGTACCCTACACATATCTGTCAAAATGGACAGGCACGGGCGGGTGCCCTGCACAGGCAATGATGATGCGTTTCTCTTTGCTCTCTGTGAGGTAGGGACATTCTGTGCTACAGTCTGTGATGCGCATTGTGTACTTGCTCTTGTGGCAATTGCCCATCCCATTCTTGCAGGTGACATTTCTCTCACGGCAGACAGCGTCGACATCCGCCTTGGACTCATGCACAAAGGTGTTAAACTTTTTGCAGAACCCATGTGTCATATTCCGTGAGTACATCATCCTATTGCAGTAGGTGCCGTTGTTGGGAAAATGGCCAGGGTCCATGTGCTGCCGCTGGAAATCCTTAGCCGGAGACTCCTCTGTGCAAGTCTGTACCACTTTGGGCACCAGCTGCCCCAGGGCCAGCAGGGAGAACAGGACGAGGGTCTTCAGAGCCATGGTGGCCTCGCTTCCTGGGGCTCCACCTGGGAAAGGAGAGAGGAGGAAAAGCCGCCCCTGAGGAAAGGACCCCACTCCTACCCCTGGACTCCCCCATTACAGGTTCCCCTAGGTCAGCAAGACAGTCACCTCTTCCTGAGACCTGCCAAGTCTTCAGGTGCATATTCTCTTCTCAAGTGCATATCACGCTGCTGACCAGAGGGAAACTTCGGTGGGTGACGCCAAAGTGATCCACCCCAGGCAGGCCTGTCTGTGCTACTGAGGTGCTGTGATGTGAAATACAGGTGTACCCATGGCTCAGCTGCCTCCTTAGAGGACCCTGTCACACACATCCTGGCTGCCTTGACACTGAGGACCAGGCTGACGGGCCCTGCTGTCCCCTGCCCAAGGGACACTCTGCCCAGGGGCTGACACTGGCCTCAGGGAGACGCCATGTGCTCCCCAGGGAGATGCTCGCCCTCCCACCCCGGGGAAGCTCCTGTCCAGCCCCACAGGGCCCCTTTGCAGCCCCCAGCTCTACCCGTCCCGGCTCTGCCTGGCCCAAGCAGCCTCAGCGCTGGCCTCTCCCCTCCTGCTCTTCCTCTCCACCCTCAACAGAAGCAGCTCAGAGACCCCCGGTGGGCACTCACCTGGGCGTCTAGCTTGGTCTCTGAGAGAGAGAGGAGGCCAGTTTCTGCAATTCCAGGGTCCCTGGGGTACAGACCTTATAAGGAGTACAACAGGGTGTGACTTCCAAGAAGAGAGGAGTGGGAGGAACATCAGAGGTTCAGCCCAAAAGAAGAGGAGGAGAATACGGGAAGGGGGGAATGTCGCCAGGCTTCCCCCAGCTGGGAGGGGCCCCTCTTCCCATGTGGACTCAGTTGTTTGCTGGTCCCCAGGAATAACAGGGAACATTATACAGCACTGATGCCTGAACCCTACCCAATCCTAGTGTTCTTTTTGGACATGATTTTCCATAAATATTCCTTGGAGGTTAACAAGAGGCATCTAACTTGTGATCTCAGGGGAGGGAGAGACAGAAGCCGCTCTCTGCCCAGCATCCTGGAGCAGCTTGGTCTGGAATCCACATCTCCCAATAGTAGTTTTCCAGAGACAGAGGGGTTCTGGGAGAGAAGTGTCAGCTGTTCCCAGTGGGAAGCTTCCCCACTCTGGAGAACACAAGCATAGTACAGAAACGGGGGAGAGAAAGAACCTATATTTTTGCCAAGAGGCCCTCAGTCCTGGCCATTTCCTGCCTACCTTTCACCCTCCACTCCAGCGGCATGGGGCAGAGCTTATCAATGTGGTAACTTGTCCTGTGAGTGAGGGTGAAGTGGAAGAACTAAAGAGAATCCCCAAATCACTTTTAGAAAAAAATAGAAAAGATCATATATCTTTCCTTTTTTATTTCTCTCCTCTTTGAAAGAGACCTGATTTGTTGATATCTCTGGAGTGAGAATTATAAAAATATCCCTCCATGCTCTGGATGGAAACAGACTCAACTCATTCTGATGGATGTAGCACCTTAAGAGTGAGGCAAATTACAGAACTTTATTTCCCTGTTCCTCAGATTTCTCATCTCTAAGATAAGGATGTTTATATGTACCACTTAGATTTCCTAGTAGGACAAAAAAAAAGGTAAGATGCAGAAGTTTAGAGGAGTGCTTAAAAGCATCAATAATTGTTAGTTGTGTGATTGTTGACTTGGGCTGGAGAGAAAAACTCCCTAATAGTGGGTTTAAATGACAATGAGCTATGTGCTCTGAAGTTCTTTCTTACTGAGGTTAGAGTCTAGCAACCACCAGGCTTGCTTTTGCCCAAAACCTGAGCTGAAACTAGCAGGTAGTTTTGGAGCTCGAGGAGAGGCGAGAGGAATCTGGTGCTCATAGAGACTGGAGGGGAGGGCACTATACCCAGGAACCTGCACACACACATAGCATAGCCCATATGCAAACACTGTGTGGTTAAGAATCTGTTTTCTTTGAAATAAAACTCTTGTTTTCAACTGAGAGTCCTACCCCAGCGATGCCTGAAGAAGTGTCAGACAACCCGATATTAGGTAAACAAGAAGTTTTTCCCTGGCCCAGGAAGACAAGCTCTCCCTCACTCCCTCAGACAAGATGACCAGGGGTGTGACACCAAACTTCAAAGACCAGGACACCAACTGTGATGGGCTTGTGGTAGGAGGTTCACATGTAGCTAACTGTTTCATTCACTTGAAAAAGGCTGGCTTGAGGTGAGATGTCAGAATGGGCCTTTGGGTAAGTTATTCCCTTTCTCAAAATTGTTGGCATTCTGACAATAAAATGTGTTATAAATTCAGTTCCTGTCTCCAGCAGCGACAGGCAGTCTGAACAGTTACGTTTCTGGTGGCTTAGGCCAGGATGTCAGTGGGGCTCTTAGGGCCAGTTATTACCCTGGCAGGTGTGCCCCGCTGATTACCTGGCCTGGTGATGGTGGTGGGGGGCAGGGGCAGATTCCAGGTGAAAAGAAAACTCCCAAACAGCATTGCCAAAAGATTTCACCTGGGGATTTTCTGGGTTGGTACCTGGCACCATTCATCATTCATTATCATCATTTAAAAATTCATAACCATACTTTGTTTTTTCCAGTTTTTCTGGTTCTATTTCCCAGGCTAAGGTAATAGTGAAGCCATAAAGACTTCAATTGCCCAGAGAGCCAGAGCCAGGGAGAGAGCGCAAGAGGAAGCACATGCAGCACATGCAGGAGGAAGCACATACAGCCAGCTCCAAAACTACCTGCAAAGGAATCTGCCTGCCTCATCTCCCAACCCTGCATCTGCGGTTAGACACAATGCTAGGAAAAATGGAGGCGAGGAAAGGTCTGGAATGGTGCCTCTCCCTCAAACCCAGCAGCATGCTCATTTTGGTGGGAGTGTTGACCAGCACCCAGGAGGCAACACTCATTAAGAAAATTCCCTTTGGAGTAGGAACAACAGTCAGCAGCATACGGCTAGAGAGGAGGCAGGAAAATCCAGATGGGGCTCTCCCTCCTGAAACTGCTGTGTTACGTGCTGAGTCAGTTGGACCCAGTGGAGATGGATTTCCCCAGTGAAGAGATGGGCCCCTGGTGGCGCAGCGGGTTAAAGCACAGCACTAAGAAGCTTAAGCCACTTCCGCATGAGTTCGATCCCCGCCTGCCCCGGAGGAGATCCACATGGTGTGGCAGACCTCTCCTGACCCACCTGCTGCTCCCCTCAGCGGGGTACTCGTGGATCTGGCTGTTCTGCTCCCCACTCTGTCTCTGGTGAAGCCTCTCGCCACCCCTGTACCTCTGGCCTGTACTCCAGTTCTGTATGCATAAATAAATTAATCTTAAAAAAAAAAAAAAAGACCCATTCCACAGGGCCTCAAGGAGTGCCAAAAACAGCAAGTTTGAAAATGGTTCAGGTGGTGCAGCAAAAAGCTGATGAGAACCCACCTGAGTTCCTGGAGCAGATCTATCAAGCACATCAAAGATACACTGATATTGATTCTCAGGTCCCTGTTACTATCAGAATAGTAAACAGGACTTAACATCTCTCAAAACACCCCAGACATTTGAAGGAAGTTATAGTGTGGATAGTGTGGAAGGGAAATGTGGCATGAATCCTTCTCAGTTGGTGGACATGGCATTCAACGTATTCAAAGACAGAGAATCTCTAAGTCACAGTCAACCACAATCTTCTTGAAACACGCTTTCAGTTTCAAAGACAGGGGAGAAGCACCAAAAAGGACCTGAAAATAGATCTATGTACTTGTTGCAAGGGAACGGGACACTGTTAAAACGGACACCCAAAGAGAGAGCAGTCAAAAAGGGAGGGAAAAGGAGAGATGGAGAATCATACTGGCTGGAGATGTAGGGTATGAAGACTGAAGAGGCCCAGGGGCTCCCCTGCTCAACCAGCTGATCAAAGCTACCTCCCAAGGGGAGTCAGGTTAAACAAACAGTGAGGGGTCAAACATTTGCTTTTTTGATAAACACAGGAGCTCCTACTCAGTACTAAACAAAGCAACTACAATCACGTTAAAAGAAACTGACAATAACAGGTGTTTCTGGAAATCTAAAAAGTCAATATATTTTTAACCTCTGGAATGGTTGATAGGGGACATGGCCATCATTCATAAATTTCTTTATGTCCCTGACTGTCCAATACCACTCTTTAGAAGAGACTTATTAACTAAATTACAGTCACAGATTGCCTTTCTTCCAGAAAAACAGCAGCTCCATCTATAATTCCTCCTGGAGCATGCCTGACAGCTTCTCTTAAAAGTGTGGGGAGAAGGCAATCCCTGGTGGTGCAACAGGTTAAAACATCGCACTATAAAGCTTTCCAAAGCCACTGCAGCAAGAGTTCAAACCCCGACCAGGGAACTGATCCATATGGTGTGGTGGACCTCTCCTGACTCTCCCACTGAGACCCTCAGCAGTGTACTTTGTCGATCTGCCTGTTCTGCTCCCCACTCTATCTCTGGTGAATCTTCTCACCACCACACCTCTGGCCTGTACCCCAGTTCTGTAAGCATAAATAAATAAATCTTAAAAAAAAAAAAGTGTGGGAAGTGGAGGCAGCCTGTGTTTCCTGACCTGAAGAAATCTTGACTAAAGTAGACCCAGCTGTGTGGACATCCAGGCAGTCTTGAGGGCCAAAAGAGTGTCCCCAGTAAAATTCAACTAAAGGGTGAATCCAGAGTCTCTAACAAAAAACAACATGCTCTATGAAAGGAAGCTCTAGAAAGTATCAAACAGTAATTGAAGAGTTAATGGACTCATTAGACCCTCTCTGTGTCCCTGTAACACAGATATGTCACCAGTTTAAAAGCCTGGTAAAACACTCTGAAGAATACAGATTCATCCAGGGCCTACCGGCAGCCAATGGCATGGTACAGGATATAGACCCTACTGTTCCTAATCCACACACTCTGAAAAATGTCATTCCAGGAGACAGTTCATGGTTCTTAGTGTTGACTTTAAGGATGTTTTCTTCTGCACTCTGATTAACTCAGGCACAGCCTCTGTTT